TCGTTAACTTTCTTCAATATGGGATATTTGATATACGAGTTCATAGGTATTAGTCGTTAATTTACAATTTTTGAATAATCGTAAATATATAAAAATAATATATATTATACTTTTGTATTATCTAAGCATCCCCATGGGATCACATAATATTAAACTTATGTGATATATATATATATATATATATATATATATATATATATATATATATATATATATATAAATACACGTTCGCTATTTTTATCTCTTAACATTAAATTATTGAATGAATATATTTTATAATCTGCCTTAAAACATTATATACCTATTACTGTAAAATATTATTGTTTGGCTATACATTTAATTCTATGACCACTGTTTATATGTATGTACTGGCGGCTCACCCTCGCTTCGCTCGTGTTCGTCCCTAGATACGTTTTAACGGTTAGCATGGAATAGATAGACACATATTATTTTATGCTCCGCTCCTTTGGGTCGGACATGATAATATATTGCCTATAACCTTCCTCAATAAACCGGCTATCTGATGCAAAAATAATTTTTCAAATCAGATTAGTAGATCCTGAAATTAGCGCAAAAACACAAACAAACAAACTCTGCCTCTTTATAATATTAGTATGTATACATTATTCCTCACTCTGAGATCACTATTTATATTATATTTATAACTATTATATATTACAGATCGTGGTGCTGAGTTCGATTCCTGAGTCACGCTTTGATAGTGGAAGCACTATATTTGCGCACATATTTGTGCACTATTGTATCTCACGTGTATTTCGTCATGGTCGAAATCAGTTAGGGCATTATTATTAAGTTAGTTCACCTCTCGAGTGAAATAAAAATGACGCTGATACGCTAATGTTAAAAACGTCCGAAGTAAATTCAAACATATACCTATACCTACTAATTGCACAAAATTAAAACATAAATAATTCAAAATTATAATGAAGTATTAAATAAGGTTAAATATAATTACAATACTTTATTACTTCATACTAATACTTTCTTAGATTTACGCGAATGTTTGACATTTTTAAATAAAACTATCTTTTCGGATTATTTCGCGGATTTTATTTTAAAATAAATCCGCGAAATAATCCGAAAAGATAGTTTTATTTAAAAATACTTCATACTATATATAGATTTGAATATAATTATTTCCAAACAATTAGGTAATTAATTAACAAAAATATTAAATAATTTATGTTGTTAGCACTGCACTTATAAAAAATTCTATAGTAATTTTACAAAAAAAATGTGTTGAAAGTATATTTTTAAAACAATTTTGTAATTTAATAAATCAGCTGTTGTAATTTGAAAAATCAAAGTTGTAAAAAGATTATAAAGTTTTGTAAACTTAAAAAGATCCATTGTAATATGAATTACAAGATTAGTTTGTGATTTATGTTAAAATTCCAGAAATATATATTTTTTTAGAATTTTAATTAAAATCACAATTATTCACAAACAATGCTTTTAAATAAAGAACTTTCTTGATGGGCAACCGATAAACTCTTTTGTAAAATTACAACACGTTTATGGTTTATACATAAGATTTGTAGAATTACAAATAATTTCTGTTATTTTCGTTACATGTTTTAGAAAATAACTTCTTCTGAGTAGTAATTTGCATTAGTACCTATACGTTCATTTCTAATAATGCTTGTTTAATAAAAAATATTGTAATTTCACAAATAATTTTAGCAGTGTAGATCCTAAATCTTATTAAGAATCGCTTGATAAAGAATAAGCTACTACGTATATCAATCACTAAGGGATAGTGTAAATTGGATAGTGTGAAAAAAATTTAGTAGTTTTCTATCTACAGTCGAATCTCGTGTGTGTGATTTTTTTTGCCAATTTTAATTAGCTTATGTTTGTAATGTTTTATATATATATATATATTTAAGGAGATATTTTGGTATAACAATCCTATATCATTAAATTTGTAATAAAATTATCAACATTTTGATACTTAACTTGAGGAAAATGATACGAGCAATTAACTACATACTTCAATTTACCTGTTTATACCTGGGTAATCTATACATATAATAAAATTGTAACTGAGCCGAATCTGTACATTAGATATTTTTTGGAAAATCTTATTGTAATATACATTATTATCAGTACAGAGGCCGAATCGTTTTTAGAATTTTTGTCTGTCTGTCTGTTACCGCATCACGGAAAAACCACTGAAGGCATTTTCATGAAATTTGGTATGGTGATAGCTGGTTATCCGGGTCAACATATAGGAAACTTTTGACCGCGGAAAAATGTCTAATTTCTGAGAAAAAATACAAAAACTGCATTGTAAGAGTATACTATATGTAAAACCTAAGAATTTAGTTTTTGGTCATCTGAACGCGAGTGGAGCCGCGAGCGATGCTAGTGTAATATGTGTTTGAAACAGGATGCCAAACGTATGATAGCATTTTCTAAAAATCTTTTACTTTCGATTGATCTAAGTTGTCACAGAAAAAGAGCTCTTGTACTTTTAAAAATAAAATCAATTAAAATTGGCCTGAAGTAAATTTTTGGTGACAACCTCCCTGGGTCGTGTTTGTTAATATGTTTAATGCTTTAAAAAATATATTTCGCCTGGAAAAAAATGAGGTGTCCACACACATACGAGTAGATCGGGATCTCCTACTCATATAATATGTATATTATATGTAACCTTGACATATACAGAAAACGTATTGTTTCAAAACGTGAGAAAATATAATTTGTTGTTAAATCTAACTTTATAATAAAAATTAATATTTGGTTAGTAATGAAGTAAACCTTCAAAATTATGTATGCAAATTACGTTTGCATTAATTCTAAGCGATATATTACTTTATAACATGTAAATATTGGCTTTGGTCCTTTCTAAAAAAACAGTTAATCACGAGTCCCTTTACCGTTAGGTGTCTCCATATTGGCCGAAAACTAACATCAGACCACTGTTTAATTTGATAACCGCTAAATAAACACTCATAATAAGGTGTTAATTAAGACTTCAGTTTAGAACCTATATGTGACACGGTTCCTGGAGGAGTGGGTGGTATTTTCGGATAGGGGAGGTGATAGGGAATCCGAATATATATATCGATTGTACATGAAAAAGGATGTTTGCTATTTGTTAAAGATATCTTTATCTTTTGGATATATTGTAACTTTAAGTCTTTATAACTTTTGACTCATTCGTTTCTTCAAAATATTTTTATATATTTGGACACTCCTCCAGGAGCTGCGTTCCATATACTGAACTCGTTCCTTAATTCATATTTGATTTTCAGTTTTTGTCCAAACCATAACATTCCATACATTTAGATAAACATTTAACTACGGCGTTTTCTTTTTAATTAAACGTGCGCGAAAAATACTTAACCTACCTACCTACTTTTAACGGCTTTCTTATGTTTTAAGAAACCATGCTATACAAAAAAATACTCATAAGCGGTCGTATAGAGAAATTAAAACTTCGAAAATAATAATTAAAACGTAATATATGGTTGTTACATTTGACAGATTTATTATCACGATACCGTTATCTTTAACTATAAGTGAGGTAAAAGCTATCTGTCTGTCTGTAAATTTATTAAAAGAAAATACTGCCAATTTACTATTACATATACGATTTTCGAAATCTTTTAAAATATACTGCAATCATATATTTTTTTCTTTTCACAGAACTCGAATATAATCAGCAACCATTTTGTCTAAATAACTATAGTCTATGACCTAAGACCTAACATAATGATACCGTTCATAAAATAATAAGACCTATGTATCAAAATTATACCAAAAAATGACTCAGCTTTGAACTTTGACCTTTGATGTCGGTTTAGAATAATTTAGCTTTAGAAAGCTTTAGGATAAAAACAGAAACAAAAAGAGCAAATTATCCGCAATCATATTCAAAATGACTATATAGTATAAGTACATACCACAACTAAGTAACTGCCTCGGTGGTGTAGTGGCTAGCATGTACAGCTGCACACCCGGAGGTCCTGGGTTTGAGTCCCGGGTCGGGCCAAGTTTAGTCAATAACTAAATTCTTTCTGTATAGTAAGTCTCAGTAACAGCCCGGAATTGGGAAGTTGGCGGTGTTTCACCCCCGTGCCTCGGAGAGCACGTAAGGCCGTCGGTCCTGCGCCTTAACTCTTACCGGTCGTGTCGAGCAGTAGTCCCACCGGAGTATGACAGTGACAGGAATAGAGAGTGCCCTTGTGTCTGCGCGTACACTTGCGCACTATAATATCTCCTGCGCAGTTGGCTAGTCTCAGTGAGATTGGCCGCCGTGGCCGGAATCGGTCAGGAGAACATCTCATACCACAAATGACGTGTGCATGTTAAGTTTGTAACTCTATATCACAATACCGTTAGCGTAAGCGTAAATTCCTCACTTACTTGTTTTGCACAGATGTCTAAGGCTGGCTACACACTTATTGTGGTACTAGAAATATTTACATACTGTTATAATGAGAATTATGAATGAGCGTTTAATTGCTTTAAGAAAGTGTTTTATATGTTTTTTTTACTCTGATAGTCGTTTACTCGCCCTTTAAATATACTTTGAGCATGAATATTAAAGTGCAGAACTTTCTACAATCGCGTTAAATCGTGTGCCATAATACTTCAAATCAAATATTTTTAACGTTTATTTAATATCTTACAAAAATTACTTATCTCGTAAAATCTCAAGCAAATGCTCCTAAAACATAAAACAAAAATTATATAAAAACTAAAGCTTGTCAAAATAATCATGCAAGCTTAGGTATGTATAATAAATCCTTACTGAAAATTTCATAAATCTACATTTAAAATAGAAACTGAACTCGAGGACTCTATATAAAAAACCCATAAAAACCTAAAATATTTAGAATCGCAAACACCAAAACAAAAAACAAGCTTATCAGCACAAAACCATTCTGGCATAAAACAAAATGGATGCAGAAGTTCTAGCAAAACACTAATCTACTCAACGATCATGCTAACATCGAAAAACATACGTCCGATGAAAGGTAGCCTTGCTGTATCTGCTTTGGCTACCACACTGGGGGCGCCAAGGCAAACTATAGCAATCGCATCGAAGAACGATGAGTGTGGGGCGATGACCACTACCGGTGCATCCCTGGGACTCGAAGGCAGGTGCTGACGACCCAAAACCTTCACCCGGTGGAAACCAGCAGCCACCACAACCAACCGCATGAGAGATAGAATCGAGAAGCGTAGTTTGCTAGAAAATACACTTGTATTAGTAAACGAATATTTGTGATAGTTTTATCCTAATACTAGTAAAAACTTTAAACGTAGCCTATGTTGATTCAATAATATAAGCTATCTCCATTTTAAATTTCACTAAAATCCGTTGAGCCGTTACATGTAACAAGCATACGCACTCACAAACTTCAGATTCATGTGTATTATACCACAATAATTATTAACTTGGCATAACAAAGTGAAGCATTTAAGTGGCAAGAGTTCAAACAAAGAAGTTAACACGACAATATATTTTACTACTCATTGACTAATGAGTTACAATAAACTGTTAACTTTAGACAATATTTTAAACATCCAAATAATCGCATAATTTATTGCCATCATCCGTTATCCTAACAAACTTAAATCAAAATATTTAGGTCAATGACAAATTGAATGACCATGCACAAGGAAATGATGAATTAATATATTGAAAATACAAATAACACTCATATAACGGTCTGTCTGCAGTGGTCAATAACTGAAGACTATATACCAGCACAAAAAAGATAATTTAATGTATTTTATTAATAATTGCCTAGTCCTTTTAAAGTCACAGATATGTAGTGTCTGCCCTTAATGTGAAAAGGGGGATCAAGCCATAGTCCACCACGCTGGCCTTGTGCGAGCCATATGTTACATGTGTTCAGAACCTATTCTTTCAGACAGGTTTCCTGACGGTGCTTATCACCGTAAATAATATCCACCCAACCGATCTTGGCCACGGCGGCCGATCTCATTGAAAATAGCCAATTCGGGATTCGAACCCAGGACTACACCACCGAAACAGTTTTCACCTTATTGCTAATACAGCTGTAACCATGTAGAAAATAGACACATAAAAATCTCAGAGGTTCTTGAACCCCACTTGACTATATAGCACTGCACTATGTGTTCAAGTATTAAGGATAAAAAAACAATATGTATTGTATGTATTGTTTCCTACTAACGTTTCTACTAAAGACTGTCAACCAAAGCTTACTCCATACAACCTTTCCCATGAAAACGTTACGTAAGAAAGAAAATGCTATAAAAAAGTAATATCTTAAAAATATCCGTTATTTTAAGCATACAAGGCTATAAAACATTCGCCATTTCGAAATAACGAGATACTTAGAAGACAATACGTTACGTTTATAGAATTTTAGTTATGGTAATAATCCAATATATTAGAACATAAAACCGATAAAGGTTAACTTAATTTGTCGAAGCACATTCTACGGGCTTCTTATTGAGTGATCTTTGTTTACTAGGGTCGATTTGACTTCAGGAAATGGATATGATGTTTAGCTCAATTAGCTGGTAACAATTCCTTTTTTAATTTATCTACAAAAAACGCACGTAATTGTGTATATACATACCTATGCCACGACTGAGTCGTATTACTGAAGCTACACTAAAATTATTACACCAGTAAGTGATAGACAGTCGTGGGTTTAAACTTTAAAGTACTATAAGTAAAATAAACTAACTAAAGTTAGTATTATTATATTTTATTAGAAACTATATCGACTCCGTTCGCGAGACACAACTATAAAGAATAACCCTTTTACTTCCTATTAGCTATTTAAAAATATCTTTAAAATCGATTAGTCAAAACGGAGATTAGTATTTTCTACACACAGTCATACATAAAATAAAGAAATTTTAATGTTTGAAATAATAAATTTAACATTTTAAATAGATAGATCCTAGTGATTTTTTTTTAAATATGTGATTTGTTCCAATTTAAAATATATGATAGTTTTTATCTTGGTTATTTTTTTAAAGGAAAAATTAACGATTTTCATATCCGTAGAGGGATTCCGGAGACCTGAGAAACGGCTACCCTAGGCTACAAATTCTATCTATATAAACTATTTTTTTTCGTAAAAGTGCGCCACACAAGGCGTGGCTAATAGTTTATAGAAAGAAAAATTATTTAAGTGGCATGTGTTACGCTCTATGGTGGTACTCTTGCTCTTTATAAAATCTACAAAAAATACCAAATAAAAACAAATACAATATAATCAAATTCAAATCAAAAGTAGCTACTTAGACATTCGTCATGGTATGGCTGCAGAAAGCGGCAATAGAGCCTATCTTGGTAGCCAACTTTCCCACTTTCTTCATCGAAATGTTACTTTACAATAACGCACGTTGAAATTCACCTACATATAGATTTATATTATCTTCTCTTCTTTTACGAGAGGACCAAAATTTTTTGGTGAAGATCTCTTTATGGTTTCAAAATGGCACCATATTGAAATTATACTCTTATTTATACATATTAAACCCAAACAACCATTCAATTTTGACGCACCAATTTCCATTCAATGTTTACTATCTAGTACCTTTTTTTATTTTAACGTTGGGAAATGCATTTACGCACAAGGTGTGGGACTCACCGGCAAAGCCAGTACTACCCACTAAAACCTTCCCCCGTCTTAATGGGGCGTCGCAGGATCGCTTACGCATTCAACTAGGACCCCCCGACGGCATGTCTGCCGAGGCAGACCACAACGACCATGAGGTTGCTCCAAAGTCCACTCTGCTATCAGAGAAGTACCAGGAGCAACCCGCAAGGTACACCGCCCCCCGAAGAGGGCCACCTCCCACCGCCCACCGAAGTGGGCCACCTCCCTGTGCGTTTCTTGGCTTCGCGCCCGGCTGTATTGCCGGGCACTACTGAGCCCCCCCACCACGACAAGGTGAACGCACGTTGGGGGGGTTACTATCTAGTACCTACTGTACATGTATACAACCTTTTTGTCCCATTGCTGGGTACGGCCTTTCCTTCAATGCAAGGGGGAGTAGGTCATAGTCCACTACTCTTTCCAAGGGCGGCTTGGTTCTACACGATGACGATGAGGGGGTAGTAATTGTGTTAAATATTTTTCGCACATGAGAATATCAGAATCGAGAAATCTGGGGTTTGAACCCGCTCTATTTGGTTTTTCAAGCGACCACCTTATTACTCACTCGTATAAATTATCTTCGAATATAGTATACGTAGAATAACTATACATTCTTAAAGCAAAACGCTGAAATTGAAGCAATACATGATTGGGGTTCTGTTTTTGTAACCAAACAAATTCATATCGAGCCTCTATAAGTTTATGAACTAAGCAGTAATCGAAGCCACGATCTTTGGCACTACCGTATAATATTCAAAGGGGACTTATTAAAATCTTAATAGTACTATTAAACATTAGTGTTATTGTAAATTGAAATATCTATGTAAATGACATATAATTTTAATGGGAAAAGTAATGGATAATATAACAAGCAGTTATCACTTTTAACATTTTTAAACGGAATTATGATTTTTTGATTATCTAATGTCTGTATATTAATTACTTATGACTCGAAACATGTATAGTAATCTTATAATAAAATTGTAACTAAGCGTAATCAAGAACATTAAATATTTTTTGGAAAATCTTATTGAAATAGACTTTATTATCGATAAAGAGGCCGAATGTATAGTTTTTAGAATTTTTGTCTGTCTGTCTATATGTCTGTCTGTTACCGCATCACGGGAAAACCACTAGATAGATTTCGATGAAATTTGGTATGATGATAGCTGGTTATCCGGGTCAACATATAGGATACTTTTTATTGCAGGAAAATATCTCATCTCTGAGAAATCTATACTAAAAGTTAAAACATAAGTAGAGACGAACCCGAGCGGAGCGAGGGTGAGTCGCTAGTAATGTTATATAGCTGTCTCGTTGGTCATGAGTTCTAACTCATCATTCGTTTAGTTTGAAGACTCAAGATTCTATCTTGAGTCTTCAAACTAAACGAATGTTGCATCCTATTTATTAGGGAACGATAACATTACCCTTAGTACCGAGCGAAGTGACTTATAGAAACAAAATAAATCTGATGTGCCAATTGTGGTCAATAAATGAAATATATATACATAGGTACTACCACTAATCATGACCCCCTTTACAAGGCATCTCGTGGAACATATCTTAAGATGTATCTTAGGAATATTAAAACAATTGATAAGTACTTAGCTATGATTTTAATTAAGATTATTATCTGTTTATTAAAAAGTATGGTTGTAGTATGGTAGGATTCCCATTAGAATGGCTGAATTGCCGTTTGCTACACTGAGTAGCGAGCTGTTATACTGAGGAAAAACCTTTAAGGAGGATTTAGGAACGTTTAAATCTGCAGTTATTTTTTTAATTATCATAATAAGTGCAGGAGATAACTATTTTTCTATTTTTATATTACCTATTATTTTTTAGATTTACGCGAATATTTGACATTTTAAATAAAACTATTTTTTCGGTTTTTTTCGTGGATTTATTTAGATTTTTGGTTCCTGACGTTTCTTATGCTTTACGGCAATCATGATCACGGGAGAAAATATAGTTTTATTTTATTACCTATTTAGTACAAGCACCACAGGCACGGACAGACAGATTTATCTTAAAATCTATCTGAGAATTGCCATATATGATAGAAGCCATATTCCAACTCACTCTCCAGACAAATATGGATATTTCAATAAATATGCAATTTGAAAACATAAACAGTCAGATGAAATACCGCTCAAAGATTCTTGGCCTCAAAACTCAATCTTTGGCATACGAAAAAGCACTTTTACCGGTTTTTACATAATTTTCACACTAATCGATGCCATATAGCATTGTAATACAAGTGAAAATTGTTTAAATGAGATCTCATTATAATAAGTAACGCGAGGCACTTGATATACTTACATGCAATAATAATATAATGCGTTCAACGTACAGACGGTATCATCATTTTTGCAATAAAAATAAACTTCAAAATAAATGGATATTGCGTGCGTGAACGTTGTTTGTATTTTGACTTTGATCAGAACTTCCTTATCGTGAAAATCCATATTAATATGAAAGTAGCTCTCGTCTGTTTGTTACTTTATCATGCTTAAACCGCTAAACTAATTTCGGTCAAATTTTGAACGGATATAGATTGCATCATAGGGGCAAACAT